GTTAGAATAATGGATCATTAATCCAAGCACATGGGTACCATAAAGGATTTATTTTAGAGGTTTCATGAAAGTTATTACTGCCTGTTGACAACTCATGCTAAAAGCTTGTTATTTTATCAACATAAGTACCTGCTTTCTTAAAAACTAAATAATTTGGTTTCATGACAAATGAACACTTGCTTCTTCTGTCAACACTAATTTCTCCTTTACTGCTGCCCCATGGACCCCTTGTTTCCATTCCATCTTGCACAAAATAAAGCATAAAGGCATTCATGGCAACTGTCAGTTATCATCTTAACTATTTCTAAGCATTGAGTCCCTGGGGAAGGCAACTGTCAGTTATCATCTTAACTATTTCTAAGCATTGATTCCCTGGGGAAGGGCTACAGATACAAAACCCTTCCTGCCCTCATATACATCTAGATCTCAGAGGGCCAATAATAAATGGCATGAGCTAGTATAGTAACATTATGATTTTATACTCCAGAAAGCTATTACTTTAAAATACAAACTATAAGAAAGTACGAGAATTTTAAGATTCTCCAAAGGCTACTTTAGTTCCTTTGATGGTTAATATACTTCCTACAACATGTTTACTGTCCTTGGCAAGCTATTGCCTTAATCTTCACAGTCTGTTTTACTCTGTCAAATCTACTATGCTAAGATCACCTTTCTTTTTCTCAGGCCATCTTTCTCTGACAAAAATGCAATTATGCTCATACTGTGCTCATAGCTTAACACTTAATTTAAACCTCTAAGTCACTGACAATACTTCTAATTTTCTCTTCATGAGTTCTCTCCTTCTTCCATGTTCCCTTTCTTGTGTCCATTTAATAAATTTGAATGTAAATATAAGATTCCATAGAAAATCTTCCACACAAGAGCCTGCTATCAAAATCCCTCCACAATCCAAAGTTTTTATTCCCCTTTTTATTCATTCTAGTAATTTTGATTGATATTGATTTAATGATTAAGGGCAAAAAAAAAAAAAAAACACGTTCACACTATCCTAGAATATGGAAATAGAAGATAAGCAAAACCCACATATTTTTTTTTTACTTCATGGACCTTGTAGTGTAGTAGAGACAGATAAATAAGAGGTATTTACTATGGAGTATGTTAAATGTTTATTCTTGGGACTCAAATGTATAGTTCCATTTAGATATCCCAACAAAGCCAAACATTAAATGAAGATGAAAACCAATCATTGTTTTCTTAATCTTCCTTAATCTTCCTTTTTGATTATCACTTTTGTCAAGCTTGCCATGGTCACTAGTGAATATTACCCCCAGTTCCTTATTTTCTAACATTGTGATACAAATTTAGCTGTATATGTGAAACACTGACCTACTGGTTCAACTCATTCCTGGATTATTAAAACAATGTCCTCTATGTTCAAGATAGAATTTACCTTGTATTTATGCTCTATTTATATAAATACCCTTTTAGCAATTTCCTTTCTCAAAATATTCAATAAGCACTCTGAATTGTTTTCTGATATGAAATAAATATACTCTTTTTGTTTTTTTACAACTTTTAAAGTTATACACAAATTATTAACTCTTACCTGCTTCCAAAGGGCTTGCTCAGGTGTGGAAAAATAGTCAGAGATCTTTGCGCTAATTCAGACATATCTGTGTTCTACTCACATATTTCATTTCCATTTGCTTAATCTATATAGTTTCACTTGGTGAAACTGATCCTTTACCTTCATCAAGTATTCTTTAATATTCATCTTTTGTAAATTAATTCACGTCTTCCTTGACACATGAAACCCATAATTTCAGCAAGCCTAATGTAGGTGGCCTATGTAGTATTTTTTTGTATAACACTTAGCTAAGTACCTAGTTGGCAGAGGGCAGGCACACCACCCTTTATAATCCTCAGTATAATTTTGGAGGAGGAACAAGTTTTTTTTTTTTTTTTTTAAACTAACTTCTGTCTTTTGCCTTTATTTGTCTGGTTTTCAACAGACATTTAAATGGCCCAATATTTTCACCTAATGAACTAATAACCATGGCATCAAGGTTGATTCAGTAAATGTAATGACTGTGCCCCTTATTCATGGATGTACAAATGTTATTTTCTACGTCTACTTTAAAAAGTACAGATGTTAGTACAACAATGGGATGTTAAAAATTGGTTAAATTTTCATTTCTTTCATTTCCCAAAAGATTAATAATGACTTCCTTTGCCTTTAAATTTATCCTCATGCCACTACTGCACTTCAGCCCACACAAATGACCTAGACTAAACCAGCCAAATACTAGCTTCTGGAAAGCAAGCCCATGATAGTTTTATGTATGTGAGGACCAGAAAGCCTAAATTCTATGAAATTGACTTTTTCTCCCTATCAGGATCAGGATTACTGGGGAATCTATGTGAGAACACATTGCCAAAAGAAATGGAGGTAAAACATTGCTGAAACAATAGAGGAATTGTCTGTATGGATTCCTGTGCATAAAAGGCCTATTCATGGAAGATAAAATGCTGACCTGTGTAACACAGAAATGAATATGCTTATTTATGTATATATTTATGTTTATACATTGGTCTCAAGACCTAAGTAGAGTTCCTACTGGCTTTTCAGAACCTTCTTTCCTAAACCTGTCCTCAATCCTGTCATAAGGAAGAAAACTTGAGAGAAGTTAGTAATAATTGCATAACTAATACATACTAGTAATAATTATATGTTACCTCCATATACTGCCATCATTTAAAAATGTACTTAAACAAAACAGATGAATATTTGTTACATTTTAGGCAGTTAAATAACATTCCAGTACATGAATTAATGATACAAATTATTAAAATAATAAACATTTCTTAATGAAATCTTAAACTTGCCCGACATTAATCAGAACCAAAAAAACCATGGAGAGCATGGATTTCCACTCCCATATTTTAAATTATCCTGGCCAGAAAAGGCTCATAAATCTCTCAAGTTCTTAATAGGCAAACATTACTGGATCTCTATACTGAAATAGTGTGATATTTGTCCAGGTACTTAAAACACTGCAAAGCAATGTTCTCATGAAGAAGGTTTCAAGAGTATTTGTATGAAACGTTCTTCTAAAAAGGTACTGTCATTATTCTTGTCTTGGAGAAAAACAATTCCTAACCTGGGAAGTTCCTGGTTTACCCCCATGCTTTCTTCTCTGAGTCTTCCTACCTTTTTCCTAAATAGCCTAGTCCTTAAAAAGCAACAGCACTATTCTATATACTGGCATCAAGAGATTCCCAGTCTCAGGGTGTTTATGAAATGATGTGATTTATTGCAGATATATTTGTCAATTATCTAGACAAGAAAACAGATAAAATAATAGAGAAGACAGGGGTGATGGGGAAAATTATTGCCCCAAAGTGGTAGGAATTTCGCATTAATAGAGAGCCAAGTTTGAACCACAGACATAAACATCTTTTGTCTGATCATTTTCAATTTGATTTTTGTGGAGATAAAGCTCCATTTAAAAGACACTTGCCTGCCTATAACTCCTGGATTGTCAAAGTACTAAAGCTGGTCCAGCTAAGGAATAAAAAAGGTTAACCTGATAAAAACTATGGATTAAAATATGATTATTTGAAAATGGCTTTGTAATCACATAGAATGATTAAGAATGAATATAAGAAATTATATAGAACATATTGCCTTTTGTAAAATACTTCAATGTTTAAATTTGTACTGCCAAGACTGTTAATTTCTGCTTCCTTAAATTTACCGTGGTTTTTAAATTTAATTTCAATGAATAAAAATCATTTTCTTAAGTAGTTGGAAGATTAATTTATTGTTATTCTCTATCATCACTTCTCACATCACTTAAAGAAAACTGTAATCCTTTCCCACTCATAAATGAAATTTTCTTTGAAATATAATTAGATACACTGCTACTATATCCTTTCTCTTCTTCATGCTCTAAATTTTTTTTAAATGCTTCTCAAGCAAATAATCTTTCATTTCACAAAAATGTACTGTGGTCTCACTTTGTACCTGACCTTGAGGATATTCATGAAGAAAACCAAAGTGTCATGGCTGGAGTTCATGATCTATTGGCAAAGCCAGTCAAATGAACAAAACTATCACAGAAGTATGCTCGTTGCTTCAATTCTAGATTAACGGGCTTCCCATTTTCTTCAAATGAAGCTAGTATCTCCCCCAAGATTCTAATTAACTTTGAAAGGTTTATTAGTCACTTCACAGTAAGAATAACCAGCAGCCAACATCTCAACTGTATAATTAAAGACAGTTTCACCATAAAGAAGACATATTAACATCATATATGATATGCTGGGAAGACCACAGCATTACTTCTCCAGCATTATAAAAAATGTATAATCTTCATTTAATCATAAAGGAAACATCATACAAATCCAAATTAAGGGACACTCTGTGAAGTAACTAGCCAGTACAATTTAAAATTATCAAAGTCATGAATACCATGGAAGAATTGAGAACTATCAGAGTGGAGGACACTAAGTGACATGACAACTAAATGCACTGTGGGATTTGGGATCCAAAGAAAGAACATGATTGGAAAACTGGTGAAGTAATTATTGCACCACTGTTAATTTCTTAGTTTTGACAATATATCACTGTTATGCCTAACGTTAGCAATATGGGAATTTGCATGAAGGGAACATTCTGTACTAACTTTTGCACCTTTTTATTTAATCTAATCATTAACACAAAATCAAAGGTTTAAAAATTCAAGTAACTTCTATTGAATTTTGCTTTGATCTTCCAAATTTTGGACGGGTTCTCTGACATTCTGTTCTATGTAACCCTTCCCAGGAATCTATAGTTATAAAATAAATGTTTGAATTGCCCAATACACTGGTGGAAAGAAAAATGCCAATAAAGTTAAAACATTTCACAAATACAAAGAGAGGAAAAACAAGTTAATAAATCTGTAAATAACAATAGTCCATGATTTGATACTGTATTCAACAGTGATAAATTCAGGGCTACTTATTTTTTGTTAGAAAAGAAGAAAGAGAAGTGTTAAGTTTACAGATACATTTTATTAGGGAATTGTGAACTCTTTTGCCTTTTCTCCCCACACCAGAGTCACTTTTGTTCATCGCTTAATTATCTTCTTCCTAGAGAAAGAAGGGTGAATGGAACTCACTGATCTCAGAGATACTACACCATGACATCAAGTAAGCAGACTTATTCTGCCTAAGAGGCATAGACCTACACATGCCTCCTTTCTTTTATCCCTGCTTCAACCCCAGGCATTTGGGGACTTAGTATATGCTGGCTTCTACTCCTTTTTCTGAACTCCAGGTTGAGGACAGAAGGTTCTGAAAGGCCATTAGGAACTTCAGATAGGTCTTGAGACCAATACGTAAATATAAATAAATACAAATATATGCATAAATAAGCATATTCATTTCTATGTTACACAGGTCAGCATTATCTTTCAGGAATAGGTATCTGTGCACAGGAGTCCAGACAGACAACTCCTCTATTGCCTTAGCAATATATCACCTCCATCTCCTTTGACAATGTGTTCTCACATACAACCCCTGGTGATCCTGGGGAGAAAGAATCATTTTTATATAGAATTTAGGCTCTCTGGTCCCCACAAAGATAATAGTATCAAAACTATGCCTACCTTTTAACACAAATTGCTGAAGGATATAACAATAGCATATTTTAAAGCAGAGATAAGGATCTCTGAAAGAAGCGAATAATTTAAGAACAGGGAAGAACAATCTTCAATACCTTCTTAATGAATGCCACTGAAAATGTATCCCAGGACACAATGCCATGGTCCATCAGCTCAACAAAGGCCGTCAGGGTGAAGGACAACATTTCTCCAAAGCTGGAAAACACAGGAAGGGGTGATAGCGATGGATAAAAAACAAATTTGAACACAAGAAAATAAAATGTAAGAAAGCTTTAGAAAAATTAATACAAGAATTGTCAAAGTTCATTGAGATAAGCAGCCAAGCCAGAGATCACTCCTCACAAATGTGAGTCAATGGGAAGGAGTCAGGAAGATTTAGTGGGAGAGACCTGGGTCTTCAGGTGGACAAAGCTAAGCACACATAGACTCTCCTCTGGGAATCCATGTCCTAATAGGCAATTCATTAATCTCTCTCTGCAACTCTCTGCTGAAAACAAGACAGTAATATCTATTTAGCCACAGGACTATTTCTTTTATTATCCGTGGATATCCAATAAGGACAATCACAAATACATCAATTAAGATGTAAAAGAGTCAAGTGATCTCTCTCTCTCACTCTGTGTGTGTGTGTGTGTGTGTTTGGATGAGTGCACATACATAAACACATGAATATAAATACATACATAAATAAGCATATTTATGTCTATGTTACACAGGTCAACATTTTATCTTTCAGTAACAGACTTTATGGATTATCTGCAGAGATACTGACTACTACTGACTGTAAAATTTGCTGTAATTCAGAAGACTGCAGGAAGGGTCTTATGTGTGAATAAGAAGTCCAGACAGAGCAAGCAGGCTCAGGTAAAAGTACTTCTAAAACAGCCTCCTCCAAAACCTTTAACAGGCACTATTTTAGTTCTCAGAGTTTTCAAGACAACACTTTAACAGACTCTTGATATCATACAGAAACTTACCTCTACTATAAATTATCATCAAAATAAACTTAATACTCTCAAGATAAGCATTCTTTCCACAAGCCCACTGAATTATGATCATTAGGATTCCAATACTATATGCAACTGCACCTAAGCTTAATTTTTAATGAAAAAATAAAGATGGTTGTTCAGATTTTTACACTTGATTTTAACCAAAAGATCAAGATGATCGTTCAGATTTTTAATCTATGAGTTGACACACACCACAATTGCTACTCTACAAAGGCTCATGAAATGTTAAAAGTAATTCTCATCCATTTTCAATGAATAGGTTCATATTTCTTCTTAAACAGCGGTGTTATTTCCCTTCTTGCTAGTCCTAGTTCCCTTGGCCCTGCTTCATTAACAACCTTTACCCTTCTACATGACCTCAGAAGCCATGATACTGGAAAAACCTATGAAAGAAAAAGTGACTGTCAAGAAACGACCATTGATTCAAACTTCAGGAAAACGGACAGGATGAAGAGCAATAGATAGCACTGTTTACTACCAGGGTAATTTCTGGAGTACCTCTCCAGCAGCAAATGGGTGAGCTAAACATTGTATACCTGTTTGTTCACCTATTAAAAATAGGGTCAACCGTGATGATGGTGGGAGTGATGCCACCTAGCCCCAAGGATGGTGGAGGCACTGAAACAGCTGCCATACTAAAAGCCCATGGAGCAGCGTGCTGTAGAAAGCAGCAAGAGAGTGCTGGCTGGTATCATTGTGCAAACATATATTTTTAAAAAGTAAATAAAGCCCATAATTTTCAAACATTTGCCTTCATTATATCAAGGATTCTTTGTCCTTGGAGTCATGGGGTGGGAGAGGGAAATGCAAGGAAAGCCAAACCATTTAGGTCAAATTGAAAAGGTTTTTTGTTGTCGCTGCTTTGGTGTTTTTTTAAGGGTGTTTCAGTCAAACCAGTAACCCCATTCTTACAGGTGCCCCCTAGGTGGCATCAGTGGATCATGCCTCAAAAAAATTCCAAACCAGAAAACTCAAACTTATTTGGAAAGAATACAGCAGGTAGAAAGACAGATGAAATTGATTTAAAATGAGTATCAAGAAAAGTTAAATGAGATTTCCAGGACTCTATCTACAAGCAATGAATCACAAGAAAATCCAAAAATCCAATGTCAAGTTGAAAAATAAAAGGAGTGGGGGGGCATGCAAGGTAGTAAAAGAGTAAAAGCAATTAGTAAGATTTATTAATAGACTGGGTAAGCATTAGTATTAGTGTGAAAATGCTATCACATAATAATGTATCATTTTAGCAGTAAACAGTATTAGCAATTTTTTTAATTAAAAAATGGAAAGGCAATACCATTTGCTGCTATTTACATTTTTAGTAGTTTGACTGCTAAGAAAACTCAGTGGCTGAGAGCCCCATATATGTAACACTGGAAGATGACATTCATGCTTCCATACAGTGAATAAAATGGCCTCAATGTCATCACTAATGAAAAAGCAGGAACAGGCAGTGACAAAGGAAAGCACACAGTAGTAGAATTAAACACTTCTTCATAGTCCCTGAAGTTACTTGAGGCTAAGGACAGATATGATCTTCATCTTTACTAGTTGTTTTAAAAGCAGTAGATAAATTATATTATGGGAATTATCTAAAGGTAAAATAACTATGCTCTCAGCTCAGTGGGCAGAGTCAAATGGCCTTAGTAAATATCTGGGGAGTTTTTCCAAAACTCTGCTTACACACTCCTAAAAGCAGCTTCAAGACCTAGGAAGAAAGGTGGAGAATAAGAGAATATATCACTTGGTTTCCAATCTCCAAGTTGCTTTTGGGATCAGGAATCTCCCCCTTTGTTATGGAGCTAATGCACCAATTCTGAGACTGCAGATGGGTCTTTCTGTGCTTTGCAATTATTCATCAGTATAAATGGTTGATATCATGGTGTCTGATAGGAAAAGCTTCTCTCTTAGCTCATCTAATAACATTTTATGTATATATTGGTCCCTCAATCAATTCAACAGAAAGATATTGACATAAAATATTATGTACATATTATATAAATCATGTATATTATATTATAATATATGTCATTAACTACACTATGCCTACATATTGTTTTAGATAAAATATGTTACACATACATATGCAGTATGATTGTATAATACATACATATGTGTGTATTTATATATAATGTGTGTATAACATACACAATTATTATGGCTGGTTCCTGGATGGCATACTCCTTGAAAAAAAGGATAGCTATGCTAAAATTTTATTATATTTCATTATATTTATGTATGATAGTTATTGCCTTTATTGCCTTTATTATTTTTTCAATATATATATATAATTCATCTCAAAACTATTTATTCTTTAATATAAAATTTATAACATTTATTATATTATCTTAGTGTATTTCAGATCAATTACCTTATTTTAAATGAGGTGACCATAAAAGGTTTTATCAAAGTCAAAAATATTTACTTCTACTCCCCAAAGCATGAGTTAGCGCTAAGAAGTCATTGATGAGTGTAGAAGATCAAAGCAAAAAGATCTACAAATACAAAGCACCACATGGCACATACAGAAACATTTTTATTTGTTGGGCTTTTTTGTTTTTTATAAAGTGCTAAACTAAAGATTTTACAGTATCAACTGCCACAAATTAAACCAACTGCAAACTTTACATGCTGGTCGCGAGACACTGTCACAGCCAACACACCATGTGTGCTGGAATGATTCAAATAAATGTTTCTCATAAGCTCAGTAGAGACCATCTTCTTTCCAAAAACATTGAACCCATCTTAAAGCATTTAAATCTATGCTGCTAACTTCATAAAGGAACACCACTTCTGAAATTGTCTTTAGAGTACCACCCCCAATACAGAAGAGGAGAAAAAAATACAAATAAAGTCCAGTTTTAAGGATGTCAATAAAATATACTGTATATATTTTCATCTACAAAGTTAATGAATATTGTTCTGCTCAGTCCTCTGAGGTTTTCCATGCATTCTCTTTTCTGTATGGTAAAACTTATATTAAAAATCTTTGGCTCTAAATTGTCCTTAAGATATTCCCTTAGCTGTCTGAATCATAACATGTCTGTGTCAGCAAACAGTTTTGGGCTCCATGGCTGAAAACGTGTGGGTCTTTCTGGACTTTTTACTCTGTTTCAATTGATCTGTATATTCCCTTACATCAATATTACATAGCCTTAATAACTAACTTGCTTGCTGTTATTAATAAGAAAGAAAAAAAAAGAAAATATACTTCTTTTCATACAGAAAAATTGTACCTTGAAACCTTGCTAAATTAAATTATCTAGCAGTTTCTTTGTTGATTCCTGAGAATTTTCTGCATAAGTAATCAGACATTTTCTATGACTACAGTTGATTTACCCTCCTCTTTTCTGATCATTATCTTTTATTTCTTTCCTGGCTTATTACTATCTCTAAATATTCCAGTACAATGTTGAACAAAAGTGTGAAAAGTAAACTTATTTGTCTTTTTCCCAAAATTGGGGTTGGGGGGAGTTCAGTCTTTCAAGATAAAGTATGATAGGTCTTTGGAGGTAGTATATTGTTTCTATTCTTACACTGCTGAAAAATTTTTATGAGTGGATGTTGAATTTTGTGAAATGCTTTTTTTGTATTAATTAAGAAAACTTTTTGTCTTATGTTTTCTCCTATGTTTTGTAAATGTTGAATACAGTAACTTCTTTTCAAACATTAACCATTTCTATATAAACATTTACTGATAAATATCCTTCAGATAGTTGACATATTAGTGTTAAGTGTACAACATAATGATTTGGTATCTATATATATATTGCTTAATGATCACCACAATTAAATTAATTAACTCCCATCACAATATACAGTTACCATATTTTTCCTTCATAATGAGATATTTTAAGTCTACTCACTTAGCAACTTTCACACATACAATAGAGCATTATTAACCCGTCACTGTGATTTACTTTATATCCCTATGATTTAATTAGTTTATAAATAGAAATTTAAATAGAAATTTTTCTTTTTGTATATTAATTATATTTATTTGTTAATATGTTGTAATTCTTGCACCTCTGTTCATTAAGGGAATTGATGTACAGTTTTCATTAACTATATTGCCTTTGTCATGTTTTGGTATCAGAGTGATATTGACCTCATGTAATTGGTAACTGTTCTCCCTTTTCTATTTTCTCAAAGTATATGTGTAAATCTAGTGTTTCTTCTATATGTGAATGACAGACTAGTATAGCCAGTTTTCAATGTGTGGAGGATTTTGATAATTAATTTGATTTTTTTAAAGGATATGGTTATCTATTAATTTTCCATTTCATCATGAGTCAGCTTCAGTGTGTCTGTGAAGCCCCCTAAGAGCTAATGCAGACATGGAGTTAGGTAATTACAAGTTTTATTAAGGAGAGAGGGGTAGGGTTGTGCTTGTGAAAGATAAAGATGTAGGAAACAGGACTGGGCACAGAAAACCTCTAGACCAGGAGGGAAATCTGATGCTTCTTCAACGGAAAAATGGAAAGGGGAAGCAGAAGTAGATATAACAATGTCTCTACCAACCCTCCAGGAAGCTCCTGAACAAACAGTGCCCCCAAAACAGTTAAATGCTTCGACATCCCAAAATACCAAGAGATTGAAATTACTGTCGGACAAATTTTAGAATGGCTTAGCCTTCAGGGGCTCAAATTCTTCTTTTGCACAAGCTTATTGCATGAGGTTGACAGAAAAAAAAAATAGTTTGAATCCCAGAACCATCATCTGACTTTAACTTCTGAATCAAGGAAATTTGCTAATTTTATGGATCTTGTGCAGTAGATATGTGTGAATTAGAGATAATTAATATAAACACTGAGACAGGGCCCAGGACAGAGTAAACGATCACTACAGATGGAGTCTACTATTATTAATTGGTAATGTATAAAATGTATATGAAAATAAGATTTAAGAAGTTTTACTCTAAAAAATAAATATTGCTTTCTGCTTCATTAGAATTTAGTCACTGTAGAATTTCTGCAACTCACGCTTTATCTGTGTGGAAATACTAGGTCAATGAGGAGGAGAAATTTCAGACTAGTGCCATACTTGAAGGTTTTTTCCTGAGGGTTTAAAAGTAAGGTACACATCAGATGTTACTCAGTCTTCCTTCTCAAGATAAAATGATCTGCTTACCAACTTTGCAAAAGGAAATCTGTACAGAACAACTTCTGTAGAAAAGTTGTTAAACCTTATTTGTACTAACCCAGTTAATTTGGTAAGAATAGTACTGAAGAGAGAAAACTCTTAGAAAGACATCTGAAATCTCTAAACACAATTATTATGTCATTCACTTAATATACAGGTGATTGAGCACTCTCAGACTCAAGCTATATAATTGTCATTCATAGTTCTACCCTAAATATTTGTTATTGTAGATCTTTTCTTCCTTAGTCACTGAAGAAAATAAAAGACTTTAACTTTGAACATCACATAGGCCACAAAAAAGAAAGTCTTTGTTTAAAGTAATATATAAAATTATGCCTAGCCTTGCTACAGAAGAAGGGTAGCAATCCTGATGTGATCCTTTTGTGGTTACAAACAAAAAATGCCCTTTCTAGTACAAAGTAAAAATAAAAGAGAAATACGTTGTTTTAAGAAGCTGTTTATAAGAACTTCAAATAAAAAGTTTTAAAAATCACTCAGAGTATCTAGAAGCACAGTCATAAAATTAGAGAGTACGGTTCAATTATGCAAAAAAGAAGGAAGTATTACATCATCTGTATCAACTGATTATAAAGTCTTACCAAGGCTTCATGATCTTCTGCAACTTCTGGTATCGTCTGCAAAATTTAAAAACAAACAAATTAAGAAGGGCATGTCTGAAGACAATGATTTTTTATGAAAAGAACATAATTCAAAGTTCATAAACAGATATGGGTATATTTTACTGCCATGAAGTAAAGAAACTACTCATTTCAAAATATTCAAGGGGAAAAATTGGCTATTGGTGATCTCTAATGACAAGAGATAATCAAAAGACAAGTAACAAACCAATTATATTTACTTAAATGCAAAGACAACAAAATACTTCATTTGGATCATCTGTAACATTGCAGCCAAGAAGCTATAATATCAAAATATCAATCTATAATGAAATAATGTTTGATAAGAGTTTAAAGAATGTTGTCTTTAGATGAAAACTATATGGATACTATACATACATACATACATACATATATATATATATATATAGAGAGAGAGAGAGAGAGAGAGTATACACACATACTATAGTCTCCTGGGTGATAGGATTCCAGTCCTTGTCTCTAAGTTCTAGGTAAATTATGAATGTGTATATATTATTATCCTGCAGGTAGAAAATCAGTTTTGTCTCTATTTGCAATTCCTCTCTCATTCCTTTGCTCCATATGAAATTGTGTTCTTTAATTTTTCCATTAAAATGGCTATAATACCTCCTGCTTTCCTCATATTATAGGAGGAAAATGAATTCTTTTAATGTATGTTCATTTTTATATCTGTATGAGAGTCATACCTTTCTATTTCCTTGAAGAGTACCTTTAATGAAAACAAACCTAAATTGGAGGATATTCTACATAGTGGCAGACCTATCATCACAAGAAGTCATGAAAGAAAAGGAATTAGATATAACATAGAATCAGTGTGAAAGACATTAGAGAAAGATGGGACAACTGGGAGCAATGTGCTATCTTGAATTAGTCTTTTTTAGTAAAGGACACAACTGGGACAACTGGTGAAACCTGATCTTGCGATGATTCTGTTAAGTTTGGAGCTGTTACAATAAACAAGGAGACTGTTAGCCTGAGGTGGCTTAAAGGCCTTAGTAGCCTATCGAAGAAACAAAACCTGAACCTGTAAATATCACACAGTTATTCAGTCAAAACTTAAGTACATCCAATCTATATAAATAGCCAACTAAGCTTCCAGCTGTATCTGATGAAATAATTTCTTTGCTCTGCTTCTGCCTCTTTTCTACATTACTTCCCTCTGTTCCTGTCTGCAGAGCATTTGGCATTCAGCAATTCAAGCTGAGTTTTTCTCAAGCAAACTCAAATTTTAATATGCCTCAGTTTATCTTTGAGTTTTATGTCAGTTTTAGCAGAAATGTCACAAAATAAATATTGTGATATGTGATATTGGGTGGGTAGGTGGGTGTGGTGGGTGTGTAAAGTAGACAGTGCAACTTTTCAAAATAGTTTTCTGGCCTGGCATCTGAACACCCACTACAGCATACCCTATCATGGAAGGTTCTCCTTGACAAGAGTTCAAAGTTTATTCAGGGCTAAATCACAGTGTTCTCTACTTCTCAACTTGCTCATGTTGGCTTCAGATTAAGCAGAACCAGAAGGGGAAAAATTGTTGTGATATGTTTTCTTAACTAAGGTGAACTCCTTTTCTCTCTTTCATCTCCCTCTCCCCTTTTTCTCACCCTCCTCTCTCTCTCTCCTTCCCTATATCTCTCCATTATATGCATGTATGTAGGTTTGTGTGCATATTCTTTACTTTAAAAAAACTTGACCACCACAACATGTGATGCTGGGAAAGCTAATGTTCTAGAGAGCTACCACCTCTCCCAAATCATGGAATTCTTTTCCTTAGCAGAAGGTAGTCTTTTCTTTTAACAGGCTGTGACACATTCTCATTTCCATTACCAAAGTGAAGGACAAAGACTCTTAGACAAAGCAAAGAGGGATAAGGAGGACCAAGACCTAGTTTAAGGAATTTTCTGCCATACAGCCCTACAAAGCCCCAGAAGTTTGGCCCCTTTGATACTTGTGATGCAAATTTCTGGCAGGCCCCATAAGGGCTATTCCAGTTGGAACTCCTTACACTCAGCTGAGTGCAGGGCTCCAGAAAAGCATGCTTAGGGAGCTGGGAAGATCAGTCAAGCAGCCTTCAGGGATTGCCCCGAGTCAGAACAGACCACACAGAGCATTTTTGGCTTAGCTGGAGAAAGCAGCTTGTTCCTCTGTGGCTCTGGAAGCCTCTGTCTGAGGTGAAGTGCAGGATATTCACAACATGACTTGGGCTTAACTGTTGACATTGAGTATTGAATAGTTTGGCCTGGCCTGGACCTTCCAGAATAGCCGTGCTTATAAGAGATATCGTTGCCTCAGAAACAAGACCATGAGTTAGAGCTAACAATCCATGTCTTTGGAAGTTGACAAAGTTACTTTTCCAGTCCCTCCCTGGTGGCGCAGCAGGTTAAAGTGCGGCATCACTGTTTGATCCCTGTCCTGGAAGTCACCCACATGGCTCACCAGACCTCTCCTGTCTCACCAGCTGCTCCCCTCAGCAGTGTACTTCATCAATCTGCCTGTTCTGCTCCCCACTCTGCTGTCTCTGGTGAATCCTCTTTAAGCCCCTGCACCTCTTGCCTGTATCCCAGTTCTGTATGCATAAATAAATAGATCTTTAAATACATATGTGTGTATGTATATATGTATATACATATACACAAACACACACACATATACATAGTTACTTCTTCAAAAGAAATTCTTTTTGTGTGTGTGTGCGTAAAGATAAAACTTCATGAAAGATCCCAGGTATTCCCAAACTGCCATCCAGCTCTGCATTTTCCCCACACATGCTCCTACCCTTGCATCAGGAATATTTAGCACAACATACACTTTGCTAAATGAATCCATAAAGATGGATTTGCTATAAATCAAGAGTTTAACTCAGTTGATCTCTTAGTGTTCCCCTCTCCTAAGCTCTGGATCAGGTTAAGAGAAAAGGATTGAAATAGCAAAAGTTTAGTGAGGAATTGTTCTTGTATTAATGAACAATGGCAACAAATTTTTCTACATATGCATAACTACAAACATCCTTACCTTCGTCATATGTATGACAGAGTGGAAAGAGAATTAATAATTAACACAAACTTTTGGTTTGCTTTTAAGAATTACTTAATGATTTACACATACCACTAAAATAACTATGGTACTTTTTTCACTTTTATTACAAGGCCAAATTTTAGAGGAATGACTTCAAAGGTTATAAAAAGTACTTGTAAATTCCTCAGAATAAGGAGAACTCCTCAAATACCTCACTGCTTTTTCTTAGGAAAACTAGAAATCTAAGGAACACCAGATCAGACCATATTAATCAGGGTATTGTATATAAATGGACACACTCCCATACAAAGGGAAAAGCATAAATCAGGACATTTCAACAAGCCATGTTCTTATTTTAAAACACTTTAAGATATGTGTACTTTATGAATTGGGATTTTTATTTCAACAAAATTATTTGATAACTATAGTGAATATACACAAATATTGTACTAAAAGAAAACTAATTAGACAATGTTCACAATGAAGAAAAAATCTGAAAATGATATAATGTCCAATGATAGTGTTAACTAGATTGTGCACATCCCAATTAAGTATTAAATTGCATGTCAGTTGCATCTCACTGAAGCTTTACAAATGAAATAATCCCCTGACAGCAAAAATAATTACATGGAAATATAGTTAGGTTAAAAAAAAACAGATTATAATAAGCATGCTATTACAATTCTACATGTTCAGTGCCTGTGCATATGAGTATACCTAAGAGAATAAATAAGTGAATGCACACTATACTGTTAAAAGTTTTTGTCTCTGAAGAAATGGATCACAAATAATTCTTATTCTCCTCTTTATGCTTACTTATATATTCCTCCTTAAACAATAAATATTATTATTTTATTAAGAAAAGAAAGCTAATTTCAAAAAATTGTCAGAGTTCCTTTAAATTCACAAAATTTTACTGTTTTCAATCCTGACTTTTCTGGGCAGGCTGGTGGTACAGCTTACTCATCTTCCAACAGCGTCATTTTCCTGTCATGTAGCCAAGTGGGAAGGAAACTAAGGATCCTGCCCTTTCATGCTTGGAAATGCCCCCCTCCCCCGTCCTTCTGACTGTCTAAAAGTGAAAGGACACAGGGTGAACTGTGCAGTTATCTGTGTGCACAGAAGCATAGACAAAGGACACAATGTTTTATTAAAAGCCAAAGAAATGCAGTATTACTCACTACACTGGATTTAGAGTTGTAGGTATATTTTTCTTTCAAATAACATGAAATAAATCATTTCTAAAAAATCTAATATCCAACTTTCTTTAGAATACTGTTGTTTTGTTTTGTTTTGTTCTGTTTTTGCAATGTTCCTTCCCTAACACTGCTGGCTTGCTCAGGTTGAAGCAAAACTTGTTTCCATAAATTTATTTACTTCTACATTTATGTTTCAAGCTGAAATTAAGAATGGAATTTCAAAATTCCATTCCACAAGGATGGTAAGACTCAAATTCAGGTTTTAAATGCTAAGATCTGCCAAGTGACACTCCGCTCCTTTGTGGTAATTGTAGCCATAGCCCCTCCTGGTAGCAGCTGGAGAGAAACCTTCAAAAGCTCAGCCTTGGGTAATGACAAGCATGCGAGTAATCTTTGAATCTCATTATAGCACAAAAGTAAAAAGAAAATTCCACCTACACTACTTCAGTGTTTCCTAAAAATTTCCACAGGTCCTACTTAGGAAACCTCTGCCTTTCCCATCTGGAAGTCTGCCCAGGAGTCATGACTAAATGCCTTTCAAATTGTAGCATCTACATAATTTGTGCAGTCACTATTCTAAAGGTTTCCTATTAATTAATTAAAGTATTACTCTGAGTTTAATTGAGAAGCCAGGTTTTCTTATGCGAAAGATAGCATTCTCTTACTTTTTAATATGAGTGAATAATCTGATAAATAGCTGTGACTTAAAAGAATAACTTCCTAGGGTGTGTTACAGGACCTAGCTGAGGAAGAGCGAAGTCCTTCCCTCTTCCGTCTTCATTGTGAAGGTACTGATGGGCACTCAGAAAGACATCAGTCCTTTCCAGTGAGACAGCGTGAAGGGAAAAGGGAAGAGCCAGATTCAAATTTAAGCTCACTCAATTTAAGCTGTTTATCTGTCTGAAAGTTGGCTATATGCAACAAATGGAGAAGGCTTATATATAAGTAATTAAAATATGAAAAAGTGTAATGGCTCTTGGTTTTTATAAAGGAACTCAATTACTGTGGCTCATGTAAAGTTCACTCAGTAGTGACATTTCTCGTGTCGCACATGTGCAACATGGAGTTACCAGTGAGACCTGTTCCCAATACTCCATCTGAGACACACCATACTAGATTTCAGCCTGGCACTTTGGACAGAACTTTCTATCCTTTTCGCTGGGTAAGCCTCTTGGTAGTCCTAAACTTAACTTTTCACTAGCTGTTCTAAGCTCCCACTCAAATTTATAGCAACAACTCTGGATTCTGATAACACCCAGAATTTGAGTTTTCCTGCTGTTCTCAAAGCTATGAATGCCAAAACCTTATCATTCAAACAATAAAAACCTGTCTACAATTGTCTTTTTTTTTTTTTTTCAGTGCTTTTCGACTTTTTCTCCCTTCAACCTTACACAATTTTTCTACTTGTCTGTGAGGTAAAATACCCAACTCCAAACTCCACAGGACATTTTTGTATGGGAGATATTCCTTCTATTATAAAACATCCCCCTGAATGAGGGGGATAATGAAAGAATCTCTCACTAATGCCAATTGCAGAGGATAAATAATGCCAAGTGTAGGAGGCAACCGGAAGAGAGAAAGGAAAGAAGGAAGGGAGTGGGCTGACATGGGTTGCTGCAAGTACAGTCATCTGCTCATTCTTTGAATCACCAGGTATGGTACAGAGATTTAAGCCACCCATGATTTAAGCCCCCAGTTCCCAATGATATTAACTATTTCCTGAGAAGTATTCTCCTGGCTGGGTATACTATTAATGTACAATATTAATCTACAAGTGACTTACTTTGCAATTTCACATATCCTGGCTTAGATCTCTGATGGTCTCTGATTTAGTTCATTGAGCATAAGCCCTTCTAGTTCCATCCATGTTGCTGCAAATGGCATTAGTTTATCAAATGGAAGAGGGATGCATCTTGCTCCTTACAGTCTTGAATCATGTCAGAGAATCAAAACTCCCTGAAAAGGAAATCCCTCCAAGTAGGCATGCCCATCCCATCCTCACTCATAATGTGACTCAATTATTACTGACTGTTACGTCTTCTGTAAGGTTTTCAGAAGTAACTGGTGCAACCTCTAATTTCCTAGTGCTCAATACTTGAATTAAATTCTTCCTCCATAAATTTTTAGAAGGCAAGACTTAATAGAATTGAAGGGAAATTTTGTTGAGGCTAGGCATGTGAGGCATTTATATTTGATATAATTATAATTTAGTGTTACTGAGACTCTTACAGATAATGACCTAATCTTTTTTCTCATAAATCTGAAATTTCACTATTTTATAGAATTCAAATTCCAAATCCCTCTTCAAACAATATCTTTTTCTTAATATATAATTTAATATATAATTATAATATATATATTACATTATTGTTCATTTGTGAACAATGTTTGCTTTCTTTTCTCAGGTATAGTCTCCATAGAATTTCCATCACCAACTCACTGTGCACCCTTTCTACAGTCCTTTACACTCTTCCCGCTCTCCCTTTGATACCTTTCCCATCCTACATAAGATCATTGATTTATTGTTTTCTGGTTATTTTTTCCTTTTCCCCCTAGATCCTCCTGTAAGTGAAAAATCTATTTTTCTTTTTTCCTTCTGATTTAGTTCATTGAGCATAAGCCCTTCTAGTTCCATCCATGTTGCTACAAATGGCATTAGTTTATCTTTTTTGATTGCTGAGTTGTAAAACATTATAAAACATTACATTATAATGTTCCATTGAGCACATATAATACTTCTTCTTGATCCAGTGGTCAATGTTTGGACATTTGTGTTGATTCTACAAGTTACCTATCTTAAGTAGTCAAGCACTATCTTGATAGTCATTTTTTTCCTGATTAACCAACATCTGATATTATTATTATTATTGTTAATTATTATTACTGTTACTAGTGAGGTAATACTAATTTAAAACACAGTATGTGACTCATAGTCACAGGATCACAACTCCTTTTCTTTAAAACTAAAAAATAAAAGCATAAGGAACATTAAAAAATTGCCAGAATGTGGGCCCTCCCGTTGGCACAATGGGTTGGAGCACAGCACTACGAAGCTAAAGCCATTTCAGCATGAGTTTGATCCCCAGCCACAGAGATGATCCGCATGGTGCAGCAGACCTCTCCTGACCTGCCCACTGCTCTTCTCATAAGTGTACTTCATCATTCAGCCTGTTCTGCTCCCCGCTCTGTCTCTGGTGAATCCTCTCACCGCCCCTGCACTCCTGGCCTGTACCTCGATTCTGTATGCATAAATAAATAATTCTTAAAAAAAAATTGCCAGAATGCTAAAGAGAATAAGACAGAAAGTCAGGATAAAAGATGCTTACTCAGTGCCACTTTCCACCATTTGGGTGAGGAGGGAGATGCCATCCAAATTTATAAACTCCTGGGCAAAGGTGACATCGCGGGAGAGGCTGGCCAAATCCTTCAGGGCCTCCAGCTTGACATCCATACTTGAGGACTGGATCCGCTCATGGAGCTGCTTGGCGTTTTGAGCCTTGACAGGGCAAAGCCAAAGGCAAAAGTGTTCACACAGCAAACCACAATAGATAAAATTTTAAATTTCCCTTGAGAAATGAAGGCAAAAAAGGACAAAAACAGATTACAGGCACACTACATGCAAATATGGGTTCTATCTCAGGATAAAGTCTCTTAATTTCATAATTAGATGAAGCAAATTTCTCATCACATTCCCATCTCTTGGAAAAACAAAAGCACAAGTACAGTAAAATCCCAGAAACTGAAGAGGGTGTGGCAACAAGAAGGAAAACATGGTAAGAATGTTTATCTGTTAAGTAAATTATTTTCTGTAGGTGACAAAAAGCTATTTCTTAGTTAAGCAATTACATATATTTATACAGTATGCTCCCTTGTGCAATAAATATGCTGAGTAATAGCTGCCTACACAGTGTTAAAAAGCTTCATTAGCCACCCAAATAATCTTCCAGGGTTACTGAAAATGTTCAGTACAATTCAATGATGCTTACAAATTTCACTTTTTCAAAGGCAGTTTCACATGTATTGACTACTAACTACATGAATTTAAAACAAAATAATTAGGAAAACAAATTTGCAGCTTCACCTGAGAATTAGATTTTCTTTTTTAAAGCATATACACTTGACTTCTACATGTAGGACATAAAGGAATGGAAATATATTGGATCCTAATTAATAGTTTGTCATTCACCCAGGAAGGCTTACATATCTACTTTTTGGTTGGGAAAGACAGCAAGAAGGATAAAACATTAAATATACCAGTTTGTGCTTTTGCTTAATAAAAATAACTAGATATATGTTGTAGGTGTTGCTTAACTCAAAACTGCAATAGCTGAAGCTCCTGTTAATCTCAGACACACCTTCCTAGGTACTTGTTGTATCCCTGAAACTATATTATATCTCATGGGAAGAAGAAATTGGAGTATTTGACTCCCAGGCAATAAAACATCTGCCTGGAACAGAATCTGATTAGAAATCTGTGGAGCACTATGGGAGTTATAACAGGTTAAAACTGCAAAATGAAGGGAATCCACTTCATTGAGAACTAAATGACTCCACCCCTACAAATTCCACAACCTTCTAATTACCCTGCTACTCAGCTTCCCCTCAGGATCACCTGGAAGAAGCCACAGGGAGAGAAGGAGATTCAATAGAGAAGGGAAGCAGTTCTTCAGGGACCAAGTCAAGGCTTAAATATATGGCTCCATCATTTGGTCAAAGACATACTGTGTACCGTCATTTAATTATAACCTAAATTGACACTGTTTATCAGAAATTGGAAGATAAGAAGATGAAAAGAGATGACCCCTCCCTATTCACTGACCCTTAGATATTTGGCAAGTCACAGAAGAAAGCATGGAAAGTTGAATGAGACAATGGCTTTACATTTTAAAATTATTAAAAGGCACACTATTATCTAAAATTTATAAATAGATATATAGCATTAACACTAACATCTAATATTAACTTAAGGGACTCTAAATTCCTTAAAAAATATATTTTTCTCCAAGCAGGAAATCTGCACTTACTATATAGAACATGATAATAATAAGTGCTCAAAAATATTTCAATTTCATTATTAATGACAACAATCAGTGTTTGGCATTATTAATACTAATAGTAAGCATAGCTAATATTCACCTATGTTTTTATGAGTCACTTTTCTAACTACCTTCAAGAAGAAATTCATTGAATCTGCACAATAGTTCTATCAGGTATCTGATTTTATTATATTCATTTTACAAAGAAAACTGATGTGTAAAGAAGTTAAGTCACATGCCTATGGTCACACAGTTTGTCAGTGCTGGAGTTAATACAGAACTCTGAAGACACTTAAGCAGTTAAGTCTCAAATCTCACACTTCATAGGCTGTTGCTGTGGAAGGTGAGGTCTCAGCCAAAAAGGCACTCCAGTGACAGCAGTAAATGCCCTTTCAAATAATAGCAAAGTGTAATATTCAATCCGCAATGCAGTGGCCTGAGTGGTTACTCTGGTAATATCCATGCCTTTCCTGCACTCAATCTAGTGCCTGAGAACCATATACTCAGTTTTCAAACAGTGCTCTTGCCTTCAAAACCTGACTTTACTCCTTCCCAGGTTGCCATCATCTAAGGAACCAATTCGTCATAAAAATGTAGAGTCCTGAAGTACTTGTTGTTGGGTAAGTTTTCCTCTTGGCCTCTAATTCTAAGCAAACCATTTGAGGAGACACAGCATTTACAAGGCTGGAAGGGTGTGGCAAGCTGGGGCTAGAGGTGGTGAAAACCTCCCTGAATGAGGAATAGAAGTGGGAGGCTACTTCCAGCTCTGTCTCTGGTTAGCTGTGAACAACTCTGTCTCTCTCCTGGTCTCATTTCCCTATTCTATACTCAGAAAATGTGATGAGATCACACTGAAGTTTCCTTCAACATTCAAAGCCACAGAGTGGTTCTCAGGTGACAGAAACTCTCATCACACAGTCTGCAGTTAAAAAGGCTCCAGGGACACTAATCCCTGACATGAGACTCAGTCTAGAATGTCAAACTTTTGGTATACTTATTAATGCAATATGTTTGAAAGGGAACAGGTAGGGCTATATATTATTCTCACCTCTAAGTTCTAAATGATGTAGAAATGATGAAATGTTTATTTAAAAAATAAGTAGGGGGCCCTCCCTGGTGGCAAAGTGGGTTAAAGCACAGCACTAAGAAGCTAAAGCTACTTCAGCATGAGTTCAATCCCCAGCCCCGGAGGTGACGCAAATGGCATGGCAGACCTCCCGCTGCTCCCCTCGGCAGTGTATTTCACTGATCTGCCTGTTCTGCTGCCCATTCTGTCTCTGGTAAATCCTCTCACAGCCCCTGCACCTCTGGCCTGTACCCCAGTTCTGTATGCATAAATAAATACTGGACTTTAGTTAGAAAAACTTGTTGACAACAGTTATTGAAGACGATTACTTTGCAAATAATTTTTCTTGATGCATTCAAACAAGTCTTTACAGTGATCCATTTCCAAGCGACATCCCTTCAAAATGAAAGACAGAATCCTCATTACTCATTGATTCAAAAAGAACTTCTGGAGCGCATTCTCTGAGCCAGGCACCATTCTGCATCTTGGGGTCAGCAACAAACAAAACAGCAAGATTCACACCCACCTAGGATGTACATCTTCAGATACGGTGCAGACAGTAAAACAAATCCACAATGAGAAGTTAAGTAGTGATGAATTTCAAAGCAAAGCCTAAAATTGGGAGAATTTGATAGTGAAAGTGACCTTTAAAGATGAGCATTTTTTAGGGACAAGAGCCTAAGGAAAGGGCATTTATGCAGAAACATGACAAACCACACTGGCAGATATTCTGGGCGACAGGAGGAACAAATCTAGCATATCTGGAGGGGCAGAAGGAGGGCTAGGATGTCTGTGACTGATTAGCAAAGAAGAAAGTGGACAGAGGTGACGGTAGAGAAGCAGAGGAGTTCACTGGCCCAACTTGTTCAGGAGCAGGAGAGCTGAGGGAAGCCTAAATGGTAATTGTGCTCCCCTGAAAGGAAGAAGTAAGTTTTCCTTTCCAGTTTTGTTTCAAGGATAGAAAATAAGTTTTACAAGTCACTCAGACAGCTCCACAACATGACTGACTCACCACCCTGAACTGAGAAAGGTATGGGACCAGGCTCAAAGGGAGTCAGCCCAGGCAGAAGGAGTGGACAGGAGTGGGCACTGGTGGATGTACCTGCCAGTACCCCCAACTCTCCCCATCCCCGTTCATGGACAATAGACAGAGTGATCTTGTCCCTCATCTGCCTAAAAGCCTTCACTGGAATATCTCTAAATCATTGCTTCTAAGTGTAATGGCAAAAAAAATTAAGTTTAAGACATTTTGTAATCTGTTTTGTTGCTCAAATCCATAGAGAAAAACTGTTTTAAAGAAACTTAAAAGACGTGATTTTAATAAACCTCTGATCAACTGAATCCAAAGAGTGATCTTTTTTTTTTTTTTCGTGTAACTAGACCTAAAAATAAGTGTGAAAGGTCCTTTTGATCTATTTGTTTCTAATATTGGCTACATCAACAAGGGAGAACAGAAAGGGAGGATTAGGCTTGGGGCTGACAAAGCAAGAGTAGATATTTGATAAGCAGTTTTATTTATTACATTCACACAGGCCAAAATGAGGAATAATGAACAAGAATAATCTAGGAATAATGAACAAGAATAATGTAAAAGGACTCAATATAGAAAGGCTTTTAGTGTGGAACATCATGATTCACCTTTGTACACTTTAGTGACTATAATATTTATCTGTGCATGTAGCCATTTAATTAAAAATCATACTAGCACATGACACACAAAGAAATAACTATACCAGAAATTATAAAAATTAAAGTGAACATAATGTCAACAGAGTGTTATTTCTTGAGAATTATTGCGATTGCTTTATTTGTAAATATACACCTCATTTCCATGTACATCACAGCATCATTCTATACACAATGATTGACAACTTGCTTCTGCACTTAATAATAAGCTTTAGAGATGTCTCCCAGGCAGAATGTACCCAGGTTACCAACTTACATTTTTAATGGCTACCGAGAGGCTATCACATACCTATTATCCAATTCATTTAATTAGTTCTAGATGATAAGCATATAATGGGTTTTCAGTTCCTGAATACTAAAAACAATGATTCATAAAGCCCATATGGACATGTGTAATGTGTGTGTTTGGGAAGAGGGAGTTTATGCTTCTATCTATTGGACAAATTCTCAGCAGTAAAATTATCAAGACAAAAGCATATAGATTTTAAACTTGGGGGATATAGGTTTAGTACCCTTCAAAGAGGCCAAAGTAATACACCCACAGAATCCTTGCCTCACAACTTGATTATCTCAAAGTATAGATTTTTATCTCTTTTCAGAGGAAGTTCCTATCTTTCCTTCCTCTCATCTACAACTAGATCTAGACCTAGATCGATACAGGTATATCTATTTATAGATATATCTATCTATATATATATAGATATATCTATAGATCAATATACTGCAGCATTTATCTACCTATATATCTATACCTATTATTTGTTCTGGCTTTATCTACTAGGGTAAAAATAGCAACCTGATATATAGACATTGATACACAGGTCTGTAAGATCCAAATCTAAATAGAGATAGGGACAGTTGTGTCATTTTGCTAGTAGTTTGGGCCATCTGTTTTTGAGGCAGTTTATTATCTATTCATAAGTGATCTTGTAAGTTGAAAATTTAGCCTTCTATTTAATATGCACTTTGCCAAATGTTTTTCCTAACTTGCTGTTTTTGAATTGAATCTGGGTTCCTTCCAAACATAAAGACTGTGGGGGTTGTTTTTATGTTTGGGAGAGAAATTTATTCATCTTTTTCTTTATGGCTTCTAGGTTTTGTGTCCTACTTAAAGAGATTTTCTATTATCAAATATATTTATTGAAAAGACTTTCAAACAAAAATTTCAGGAGAGTTAAAATAATAGCCTGGAAGTTTCTTCTGGTAAGAACTGTAGTCAAAATTTATGTAAAATAAGCTAATACTGGAAGGTAGTAGGAAATGCCACTTATATGCACTATCTGAAACTCACAAACCCTCAACTGCTCAGAAACACACAACTTTATACACAATGTTCATGACTATATTGACAAGACATTGGGTAAATATGACAACTGAAAGACACCAGGTTTAAGATGGTCACTAGGGGGCCCTTCCTGGTGGCACAATGTGTTAAACTGTAGCACTACCAGCTAGCACCAGCTTCTTTGGCTCCCTGGCCAGGGAGTTGACCCACATGGTGCAGCAGACCTCTCCTGTCTCACCTACTGCTCCCTTAGCAGTGTACTTCATTAGTTGGCCTGTTCTGCTCCCCACTCCATCTCTAGTGAATCCTCCCACCGCCCCTGCACCTCTGGCTTGTACCCCAGTTCTGTATGCACAAATAAATAAATCTTTTTAAAAAATGAAAGAGCATATGCTGACCCATATTTTCTAGTGAAACACAAATACTAAAAAATAATCTACTAGTCACAAGTGTATTTGCAGGTCCAAAATATCTTACTGTTAGAGTAATTCCCAATTCTAGACCCTGCTATTCAGATTCCTGGACCTAAGCACCAGCTTTTTAAAAGTGCTATCAATGATTCCAGTATCGAGACTATTGTTCTCTAGAAATGTAAGCCATTCTCTTGTAGATGATGTCCAGCTCATAATATTCACTGTCTACATTACTTTGTCATCTTTCCTTTCTCAATGCTGGAAAGGTAAGAGACATCTGAAGAACACAAACTCCATTGCCCTGACAACATTAAATCATAACATGGGGATAATACACATATGCAATGTGTACTCTTTCTGCACAAAGACGATGAGTAATTGTAGCAGGATAAATACAAACTACAAAAGCCAAATGAAATATTGGTCTCTAAAGGTCAAATTAACATTAATTCATGCTGACTGAGGTAAGGAGATCGATACAAAGTCAGACAAAAAAAGTTCCAGTTCATCAGGTAGCCATTGAAAAATGAGAATGAAATAAAATTTTCAATATGTAGAATAAGAAAGTATCAAAAGGCAGTTCAGCCAACTCCATCAATGCTTTCTATTGAGTTCGTCACTATATTTATGTTAAAAATATTATTGGGTAAAATGTTTAAAAGTTCTTAAGCCTTTCTAATGTAATTTCAACAAGAATTTGTGGTTGTTACAGTACCCACAATTTAATTTTAGCCAGATGCTTTTTCCAATTTTTAAATTTATTTTTAGCCTACCACATGGCTTCAGTGGAAACTGAAAATGAGAGTTAGACACAGTTTTCATCACATATGCAGAGTGAAAATAGTAACACTTAGTATATTTCGTGTAGATTTTTTTTTAGGAAACCAATAAAATGCACTGTGGAAAAAAAAAAGTTTAAATAAAATAATGTTACCACTCCAAGTATCTATGAGCAAGTAAGAGAGGTCAAGATAAACAACACAGTCTTCTACAGTAGTCTAAATATGCTAAATAAAGCTTAGCAGATTTTAATGGAAGACTTTAAAATGCCTAATCCAGAGTCAGCTGTCAGTGAAACAGCAAAAGTAGACTATTCTTTAAACTGTATTTGCTATATTGTCATAATTATTAACCAAAAGCAGAATATGCTTAAACTCTTTCACAAACACGTAGCACATCCCACATAAAACCTCTAACTCTAAAGGGAATTAACTGGCTATGTGTCTCTAATTTTGCTGGATTTCCTTGTCAAATGGTATTATGTAGATGTGTGAGTGGGTAGGTAAAACCAAAAAAATCAGCATTGCTAAGTTATTACATCTGTACTATGAGAATTATTGTGAAGACCACCAAATTAAAATCTTAAAGTTTATTTATTTACACTCCACCTAGAACAAAGTCTTTATGCTCTAAAGGAATTATAAAGACAGGAATGCCTGCTAATTCCAAAATCTGTATTTAGAGACCTTCTGCTATGTACTGAAATCACCCTTAACAGTTAATGTCCCTTAAGCATATATAGTAGAACTGGAGAACAAAAGCTTCACAGGAAAGTTATAAATTAAGATCAACTTACTGGAGATGTAGTTAATCGAAGAATACTGCCATTTTTTATTTCATTGCGATTCTGGAAAAGAAAAAAAAATATGCAATATATTTAAATTTCAAATTAATGCAACATTTATTAAAGAAGAGAACAAAGATAAATATAACATAGTAGAGAATACATATAATATGCATTATAGTCAGTTTATACTCACTTAAGTAATTTTTAATTATTTCTAAAAAGAACCTGAATCTGGGCCCTCCCTGGTGGCACAGCGGGTTAAAGCACAGCACTAAGAAGTTAAAGCCACTTCCGAATGAGTTTGATTCCCACCTGCCCCGGAGGTGACCACATGGCGTGGCAGACCTCTCCTGACCCACCCGCTGCTCCCCTCAGCAGTGTACTTCCTTGATCTGCCTGCTCCCCCACTCTGTCTCTGGTGAATCCTCTCACCCTCCGCATCTCTGGCCTGCACCCAATTCTGTATGAATAAATAAATAAATCTTTTTTTAAAAAAAAAAAGAACCTGAATCTGAAACTTAGGTTTTTAATATTTTATCAAATTATAAACAACCTTCAGCACAGAGAAAATGACTATAAACTTAAATAGGGGCCCAAGAACATAATATACAATTTGAAAAGATTATTAAGAAAATATGCCCTCACAACGCTAGTCCTTCATATACAACCAAGAGCAAATAAAACCTATGTCCACACAAACACACACACACAAATTAATAGAAACATTATTTCAGTGAGTTAAAAAGTGAAAATAATACATGGTCATCAACTGATGAATGGAAAAACAAAATGTGTCATATCCATTCAATGGATTATTATTAAGCTGTAAAACAGAGTGAAATACTGATACTTGTTACAATGATGATGAATCTTGAAAAATAAAATGAAATAAAAATACAACAGTGGAAATTATTTTTTCTGTTAGAATTAAGTGCAAGGGGAGACTTAGGTAAAAATAAACATTTGATACCCTGACCTCCATATTTATTACTGCAATGTTGACATTTGGCTTCCTGAGATCCAAGATAAGTCTTCTAGGAAATGGTCTTGGGGCATGTTATTTCGAACAAAAGCAATATTCAAAGCAACACAGAGATCCAAAGCAATACATATCAAAATTTCAATGGCTTTCTATAAAGAAAATATTACTGAAGTTTTTGTAGAAGATCCAAAATAGCCAAAGCAATCCTGACAAAAAGTATAGAGATATCACACACTCAAACTTCAAACTAAAAGTAATCAAAACAGTATTATATTAGAATAAAAACAGGCAAAGAGTCCAATGAGAGAGAGTGCAGAAAGAAAGCCACACTTATATGGACCATTAATTTGTGATAAAGGAACTGTGAGTATACAATAAAGAACAGAAGGCTCTTCAAATATGGGGTTTGGAAAATTGGACAGTCACAAGAAAAGAATGAGAGCACTATCTCACACCAAATACAAAAATTCATTAATTGAAATCAATTAAGACTTGGATGTAAGTCTAACACCATGAAATGCATAGAAAAAATTTTAACAAAATATTCCATGACATTAGTTTCAATGACATCTTTGGGGACTCTACTAAAATGGTAAGGGAAAGAAAAGCAAAAACAAATGGGACTGCATCAAAGCAAAAAGGTTCTGTATATGAAAAAAAAAAAAAAAAACTACCGTTACAGAACAGACACCCTACTGAACAGGAAAAGATATTTAAGGGATTAATATCCAAAATCTCCAAAGAACTAAGACAACTCAACAAATTGAATATAATTAACTCAATCAAAAAATGGGCAGAATAGCTAAGTAGATACTTCTCTAAAGAAAACATATAGGTGGCCAACAGGCACATTATGAAATGCTCATTGTTACTTAATCAAGACATGCAAGTTAAAATCATAATGAAATACCACCTCACAACTTTGAGAACAGTTCCTAGCACAAAAACTAGAAACAATAATTAGTGGTGAGGTTATGGAGAAAAAGAAACCTTTGTAAACTGTTGGTGAGAGTCCAGGCTGGTCAAGACCCTGTGGAAAACAGTTTGCAGGTTTGTCAAAGTATCAAAAGTAAGCCCACCATATTTTCCAGCAACTCTACAATTAGATATCTAGCTGAAGAACACACACTGACTAGAAGGGAATATATATATATATCCCTATGTCCACTGCAGTACTATTTGCAAAAGCCAAGGTATGGAAACAGCCTAATTGCCCAATGATAGATGAGCGGGTTAAGAAAATGTGTCATATATACACAATGAATATTACTCAGCTATAAAAATGATGAAATCTTGCCATTTGGAACAACATAAATGGAACCTAAGGGATTATGCTAAGCAAAGTAAGTCAGAAAGAGAAAGACAAATAGTGGATGATTTCACTCATATATGGAATCTAATGTAAGAGACAAACTTAAACCCTAGAAATCTATACTGCAGAATTGAGATTACTAGGTGGACTAAAAGAGGGGGCTGTCTAATGGACTATGTTACAGTATGATGGATGCTTCAGTGGTGGGTGTGGTATGGTTAAATACATTTGATAAGGTGTGAAACTAAACCCATAAATCATATAAGATGTTCACCAATGTTGCCTTAATAAGAAATAACACAATTTAAATAAATAAATGCATGTCAAGAAAAAAAAATCAGTTTGGTTTGGAGTTTTGTTAATAATGTGAGAAAAAGACAAATTTAAGGCTACAAACATGAATTAGTGTTTTCTATAACAATCTACACATCACTACCCTGTACAATTCTCAATCCCTGGCACAGTCCTTGTGCCATCTTTATGTACAAAATAAGGGCAGTGTCTATTTCCAATGTACTGTGAAGATTAAATAATCCCTTCAAACTGATGAATTGTTAGAGGAAGGTTTTAGAATTTCTTCTCTCATAATGATTTCAAAAATATATTTGCCTTCAAGCAAACCCAAGAAAACAGATTTAATTGGTCTGTTTTTTGTTTGTTTGTTTAACTGTTTATTTTATTTTTTGCTAGATTCCTTCCAAATCTGATTTTTTCCCTCATATTAAAAAAGTAAATCTGTGTCTACAATTTACCTACTTAAAACAGAGTAGCAGAAAGTCTCTGTCTCTATGATAAATATTTCATTTTTAAAAACTTGTAAGTGTTCTCCCTGGTGGCACAATGGGTAAAAGCACACCATCTGTGAAGCTGGCAGAGGCTGGTGTGAATTCCATCTGACCCAGGACGTGACCCACATGGCACGGCAGACCTCACCTGCCTCCCCCACTGCTCCCTTCAGCAGTGTACTTTGTAAATCTGCCTGTTCTGCTCCCTACTCTGTCTCTGTTAAATCCTCTCACTGCTCCTGCACTTCTGGCCTATACTCCAGTCCTTTAACCACAAATAAAACTTTTTTTTTTTTTAAGAGTAAGTAAGATGTCATTTTTGTCTGTTTAAGATACTAGTAAGTAACCCTTCACCTAGGCATTGTTAAAATGTTGTAACATCTCTGAATTTAATAAAGCTTCAACTTTCTTCCCAGTAAAACCAACCAAAAAAGAGAAGGAAAGAAGAAAGCATTAAAAGCACTGCCAGATAGCCATCAAATTGTTATTTCATAACACACTCTGCAAGCACTCAGCACAAGATACTTAGCCAGACTAAGCTTTCTTTTTCCAAGAATGGAAGAAAGTAGTCATTGCTCAGGAGAGTTTAGTCCGAGCTACAGGTGACATATGCACTGTGCCCTGCCTGCAATTGGCTCAAAACAGAGAGCAACTACAGCAGTTACAAAGAGCTGTGCTGACCCCTCCTCCCTGAGATTTTGCAAATGACAGATCACTTGTTTCCCCTCTCTTCCTTTCCCCTGGGAAATAAATTAATCAATATTTTTTTTATTTTGGAAAGGAAATAATTCAAAAAGCTAATGTATACATTAAAAACTTTAAGTACCCTCTTCCAAAGAATAGATTAAACTCAAAGGCATCTCTGCTTCACAGTCTATATTCTATTAGGAAGATGAATGGATTTACATCTCTTTGTTTGAGGGCTGACTCTTTAGGCTTACTAAGGAAATGCCAAGCTTAAAATGTAAAATTGGTTAACAAAGGGAAAAAGCTTATAAATTGCTCTGATTTTATAAATTCCATACAGACAGTGTAGAGCACAACTTAAAAGCAGAACTTCCATACAGTACCATCTACATGTGACCCACATTTCACTACCTACCTGGTCTCCAGATAGGACTACCTGGGAATGGCCCCCATTACACTTCCTATCTTTGGAAACGAGGGCAAAGGGTAAAGGATAGATTAGCTATCCTTGTGCCAGCTGCTTCATGTATAAAACAGGGACGTTTCTATTTCCAAGATACTCTGAAGATTAAATAATCAATTCAAAGTGCTCAGAATAGTGTCTAGCACATTGTAAATGTTCCAATAAAGGAATTGTTTATGGTTAAAGTACAAAAATAACAAACAAAAAGTACACTGATATATATTATTCTTTGTTTTTAGCTAGTCTTTATACATAATGTGATCAATAAAAATAATAGTGCCATTGATCTTATACTAAATCAAGACACTAAAGTCAGCAGCACATAGATGGCAGTATTACACATACTAGCAAATTAGATGACCAACATGGCTAAGGAGGAATTCTATCAAAGAGCATGCTTCACAGCTGCAAGCTTTCACTCACACTTACCACACTTGGTCTTCTATGCCTGTTTTAAAGGGGTATTCCTTAGAACCCTCTCTGGTAGTGCAAGGAGTTAAAAATGCAGCACTATAAAGCTATCCATTGCCACTGCAGCATGAGTTCAATCCCTGGGTAGGGAGGTTACCACATGGTGCAGCAGACCTCTCCTGTCTCGCCCACTGCTCCTCTCAGCAGTGTATTTCAGTCGATCTGGCCCTTCCGCTTCCCACTCTGGTGACTCATCTCACCTTCTGCACCTCTAGCCTATACCCTAGTTCTTGTATGCATAAATAAATTAATCTTTTTTAAAAAAATAAAGGGGTATTCCTTGATAGTGGGTGTGTGATTTACTTTCTTATCAGCTATCTGCTCCCACCCTCAGAATATCAGTGCCATCTTCATAACAGT